CCGCCCGAGAACTTCTGTGAATGCTTATCAGAACTGTGCCGGCTGACACCAACATCTTATCAGGACTATGGCCTGTCTGGAAGTGCTTCACGGACAAATCTCACCATCTTGCCATCAAATGCATATGTAATTTGTTTATAAATGTGCTTGCTGGCAGAGTTTTTTGATGTCTTAAATCATGTCCTGATAGGACAAGGTGTGAAGAGATCTTTTTTTGCAATGCCACTATCCTATCCTCATGGCTTTCCCCCCTTTTCTATCTAATAAAGTATTCTGAAAGAGGATAAGGGGCTGCACTAAAGTAGCAGCAGCAACGTGCACGTCGCCCATCTTTCGGACAACTGTACAAATATTATTTTCCTGTATTTCAGTACAATGATAATAAAGCTTATTCTGATTCTGATTTACCTTTCCCACCAAAATTTTATCGTAGTAGTCAAGGGATTTGAACCTGCAACCTCTCAATCACAAGTTCACCTTCTCTAATCTCTGTGCCCACCACCTCTAATTAGGCGCCCTTTAGTTAGAGTTTCCCTTAAGAAACATCTCTTTTGATGATTGTCAGGGGAGTTTTGGTCAAAGTCGAGGTTGTGTATCACTAACTAATGTTAAATTATTGTTGAACCACGTGTGTACATTTAGAGAGTCGTTTTTCCCCTCAGAGATGAGCCTGCCTGCACCTGACACCTCCCAGTCTGTGAGATGGGAGGCTGAGGTCATCATGACCTGTAGCAGCTGATACGTGTGCGTAAAAAACACTTCCTGCATACTGTCCGGCACAGATCCTTGTGACCGGGCTTAAATGAAACATCTGTGTAAGCCTGTTGTGAACTCTGCCCTTGCAAGTAAAACAGGGTGCAAAAACCTTCTCCTGTCGTCGTATGTGGCTTCTTAAAGTAAATAAGATAATGCGAGGATATTTTTATTCAACAATAATCAAAAATAAAGAAATACTTTAACAAAGGTTGTGCAATTAATTGACTGCATTCTGAGTACTTGAAACCATGTGACCTTGTTCAAACACCTGTAGGCAATATGAAAACCTTCAGCCTGACTTTGTGCAGATGAGCTAACTGGAATAAAAATGTATTCGTGAAAATATTTGGGCCCAAAGCCATATTTGAACAAGTCAGGTGAATAATCCAGTCACAGCTTTTATAGCAACTTGTAAGCAGTTCACTCAAAGGTTTCCCTCTTACTTTGTTTGCCGCCTTTCATTTTCCAGTTTGTTGTCCTGATTTTGAGGTTTTCAAACAGGACAACTGAGGCAAGTGTAGCCTGAAAATGAGTCATAATTGTGCGCTATCTCTCCAGACATTACACTAATACAGTCTGGGCTTGCGGTCCACATTAACATGTATTAGGAGTTTTCTTACTACTGATTTTGTTGCTTGGCTCAAGGCAGCCAACTTTAAAATACCCTGTTTTGACACCCCCCATCCCCCCACAGCCAATCAATTCACCTCTGTCTGAAGGTGGGCATAGCTTCCCTGTGTGCTCCAGTACCTGGAATTCTTTACCAGTCAATCACACCTCTGGTCCTCACAGTGCTGCCTGACCCATTGGCAGACCTGCCATAGCAATGCAAATCCCAGCAGACATTGCTGTCAAAAGCAGCTGCTCGAAGATATATGAAAGACAGGCACGTCTGCTCCTGTGCACACAGAGCATGTGCCTCTAAGCAAGACGTCTTAGTTAGCTGAATAAAGCATTAAATGTACCAGTATCTTCAACATTTTTATACTATTTTAATTGTCCTGTAAATCAAAGCAAAATAACACGTTTGCCAAAATAAATAAAATAACAAATTATATAAAAAAACATGTGCATATACCATCTTTTGTGCAAGATACATTTGTTTTAAATAAGAATGATCATGTGCAGTATTTTCCTGTGTCTGTGTCCATGTCTCGTGAACCACTTGACAGAATTGAATGAAACTTGAAGGAACCAATCATCAGCTTCACGTGTACAAGTGATTATGTTTTAGAGTCAATCTAATTCAAGATGACTTCCACAGATAAATGGTATTACTAAACACAAAAATGGCAATAATTATTTTCAGTTTTACAGACATTGAGTATGAAAATAGCTAAGTCATTCTCAACACAGTGGATATTCATCAATAAGTAATTATCTTTTGAAGCCAACTTGCTTCAAAGTGACTGGCAAAACCTAGAAACCTTAGAGAACATAAAAATGGTTATATCTTAGTAAATTTTACAGGTATTAGTCTAAATTTGGAGTGCTAGTAGCTGAGAACCATCCACAACACTTATCTCAAGTGCTAACTCAAATTCAAATTAAATTCAAGAATACTTTATTAATCCCAAAGGGAAATTAAATGTTGTTGTAGCTCGTTTTCCTCGTTTCATTAAGATATGTTATAGATACTGATGGGTGTAGGCAGGACGGATCTCGTAAAGGTCCGTCCTACAGCGGATCTGAAGTACCTGGACACAGATGCCATCCAATCTGTCCACCCAGACTCAGCTGGCCTCTCGGTTCCCCCGGGTTGCAGGACCACCCAAATGCCAGGCAGAACTCCTCCCTGAGCGATATCCACTCCTCCCAGCAGCCTGCCGAGTTCTTCGTCGCTGCAGACAGCCAGCTGCAGGCTCCAGGGGACGATCCTGTCCTTCTGCTGTCACGAGCTGTGTTTCCTGCCATTTCCAGGATCTCAGTGGTCAGGCACTCGAGCACAGCCGGCAAGGAGATGGGAGTGCATCCACGGCACCTCCTTTTCAACTCATTTGAGATTTGGAGCTGTAGTTGAGATATTATTTAGGGGAGTGGTGGTGCAGAGGTTAAAGAAGGTGGGCCTGTGATCCGAAGATCGTTGGTTCAACTCCCGGTACAGACAACATCAAAATGTGGGTGGGATAGGTGAAGCACCCACACCCACCTCCATCTTCATTTGCCTCATAACAGATCTAACAGATGTCATATGATCTTCATATGATATTTGCTATGAGGATAATGTCATATCCTCATATGATCTAACAGATCATAAGAACTTTGCTTAAAACAATGGCATTACCTGTTGGAGTCAGTACTGATGAGTGTCACTTACATGTTACAACTGCTTGACATACCACACCTCTCATGTCTCTGTTCTCCAACCATCTGTTCAACAACCCTACCCAAGTGAAGTAGTTGTCATTGGTAATGAGATTCATGTCCATATCACCATACACAGACCTGTGGGTTCTGACCTCAACACCTTTTATCATCCACCTAACTTGGCATCATATTATCTTTGTTTGCTTGTTGTTTTGTTTTTATCAGCTGTAAAGAACTTTGTTACACTCTATTGTATGAAAACTGCAGAAAAAAATGTTGATTAATTGATTCATTCATTAATTTAAAATCAAATCTGTGCAGCTTTACAAACGAGAAAATTTCTTACTCACCAGCCTTATCACTGTAGCTTTTCAATGACTCTAATTATTTTCCTCTGTTATTCCTTCAGGTCATCCTGATCTTGACCAAGTACTACCACGCTGACTCCACCAAGGTGTTGGAGAGCTCCCTGTGGAGGTAGGCCAAACGCTTGGACCATTTTTACCCTTGCTACATGTCTTTGTCAAGTCTCGCCTCATGCAGGCAGCTTCTGTTTAACAGTGAGGTCAGCGTGGGTCTTTGTTATCGCTGTGCTGTGCTTATTGAAGCAGTCGAGGGTGAAGCTGAACTCTTTGATGGACAAAGCATCAGAAGGCAGCTGAAAGTAAAGCAGGGGATTGGAAAGAAAGATGCTGCGAGTTTGAAGTGGGGATCTGTTTAGGCAGTTAGCATATCAGCATGGCACAGTCAGGATGGTAGCATTAGCAGAAATTCCATCTTGTTATTGTTGGGGTCATTAAACAGGGACTTTTTTAGGTGCATTTTTTGGGGCAGCCCCTTAAGATACAGTCAAATGTATTATAAATAAAATTAAACATTCATTATCGTGTTCACCAGGTAGACCACTTGCAGAAAATAATCTAACAGGAGCACTGACTGCTCATCTAACCCAACTCTTAACTCTTTCCCTGCACTAATTTTTTGGTCTCTCATAGGGGTTTGATTCACTTCCTGGTCACATGGTCATGTGGCTTACAACAAAAGCTCCTTTTTTTTTCTTTCAAAAATGTAAAACTTTATAAACTGTAACAGGTTGCTAAACATCTGACATGCATCCATACATAACAATAAAGTCTAAATAAAATAATTAATCACAGCCACAGAGAGGTATTTGCTGTGTTCAGATGTTGCCATGGAAATGCATCAACAAAATGATGTTGGCATTAAATATTTTTTTATGTAGTCACGTTGCAGGTGAATAATTGTGAGAAAATGTCAATGTACATGACATACAGTATGGGTGTAGTTTCTTCAGTCTAAACTGTCCCACCAAGAGAAATTTGTGAGTTTGGGGAAAATAAAATAAAGTTGAACAGAGACACACATCTTTGCTGTAATCTGGGGCCTACAAGTATCTTTGTTTTGTGTTATTAATGTTTAATTATAAGAATTAAATTGGCATAAAGGCTGCACACACTTTTTCCTGCTGTGTGGTGTTTTGATAAACTGATCATATCAGTGTGTGATTGCCCGCGAGCCACGTTAAACAACAAACAGATTTATTACTGGGGGGAATATTGATGAGGATGTACAAACAGCTGTGTACTTAGTTTTAAAAATAGTTAACCACAAATAGGGTTGATTACGTGACTTAAATCATTATAGTGAATGACACAAAGATGTTCGGCACGCATCTCGCTCGCTGTCAACCCAGCTGAGTTCTGCTCCGCCTCTTTTGGTTCCACTTAACACTCACACCTGAGCTGGGCGTGAACTCTTCACCTGTGATTTACGAACCATTCGAGGAAAGACTGGTCTGTGCAGCCATTTTATTGTAAATGAGAACTGGTTCTTAATGGACTCGTAGCAACATGTTGGTCATTCAGGGAACGTCAAAAACGGTCAACTTTTTATTTTATGTTGAAAAGCGTAAAGATTTGGCAAATCAGAGATGGCAGAAATATATCTGTATTAAATAGGAGGCGTAGTGTGTACTTTTTGTTTTAATTCATTCCACCTTTATTTATACAGGTTAGTCTCACTGAGTCACGAGGACTATTTTACAAGAGAGACCTGTTCTAGTGTTTCACATTAGAATGTCACTAATAGCAAGGAAATACATTTTGAAATGTAATTTTTTTTAGTTACATTTTTGGCTTCTGTTTATTGCATTTATGATTCAATGCAGCAAAATAAACAAATTAAAAAGGGAACAAATCATTGTAATACTTGGTTTATTTACATAATGGCGTTAATTCTGGTGCTGGGTGGTCTGTTCGGGTCTTCAAAGCGTGCATAGAACTTGTTGAGGGCATCAGGCAACAAGTTCTATGCACGCTTTGAAGACCCGAACAGACCACCCAGCACCAGACTCACCTCGCCACCGGATGAAGAGCATCTCAGTGTGACCTCAGCAGAAGTAAGGAGTACCTTCAGGAGGATTAATCCGCACAAAGCAACTGGCCCAGACAACATCCCTGGAAAAGTGTTGAAGGAATGTGCTGATCAGCTCTGCGAGGTGCTGGCAGACATCTTTAACACCTCACTTACCCTGGAGACAGTTCCCACCTGCCTGAAGACTGCCACCATCATCCCAGTCCCAAAAAGCTCTACAGTGACTGGTCTGAATGACTATCGGCCAGTGGCCCTCACCCCGATAGTCGCTAAATGCTTTGAAAAACTGGTCATGACTCACATCAAAACAACCATCAACATCAACGAGGACCCTCATCAGTATGCATACCGTGAGAACCGATCAACAGAGGATGCAATCTCCTCTGTGGTCCACACTGCACTCAACCACCTGGAGCAGAAAAACTCTTACGTCCGTATGCTCTTTGTGGACTTCACATCCACCTTCAACACCATGATCCCCCAAACCCTGATGGACAAACTATCCACACTAGGACTAAGCCCCTCCATCTGCAACTGGGTACTAGACTTTTTAACAAACAGACCACAGTTAGTGAGGATCCACAACCTCTCCTCCTCCACCATAACCCTCAGCACTGGCTCTCCTCAGGGATGTGTGTTGAGCCCCCTCCTGTTTACTCTGCTCACATATGATTGTGCAGCTACCCATCCAGGCTGTCACATTGTAAAGTTTGCAGATGATACAGCGGTGGTGGGATGCATCACAAACAATGATGAGTCCAGCTACAGGCAAGAGGTGGAACACCTGGAGAGCTGGTGCAGAGAGAATAACCTTCACATCAATGTGAAGAAGACAAAGGAGATGATTGTGGACTTCAGAAGGAACAAAAACACCTACACCCCCCTGAACATAAGAGGATCTGCGGTGGAAGTGGTCTCCAGCTACAAGTACTTGGGTGTACACATGAATGACAACCTCAGCTGGAGCAACAACACCACCAGCCTGATCAAGAAAGCTCATCAGAGACTCTACTTCCTCAGACAGCTGAGGCGAGCTGGTCTGGGAAGCTCAGTCCTCATCTCCTTCTACAGGTGTGCAGTGGAGAGCATCCTGTGCTCGAGCATCAATGTGTGGCATGGAGGCTGCACAGCTGCAGAAAGAAAAGCTTTGCAGAGAGTGGTGAAGGCTGCACAGAAATCTGTTGGAATCAGCCTCCCCACCATCACAGACATCTACACCTCCAGATGCAGGAAGAGGGCCACTTGCATCATGAAGGACCCCACTCACCCAGCACACACACTTTTTGCCCCACTCCCCTCAGGAAGGAGGTTAAGGAGCATTAAATGTAGAACCACTAGACTGAGGAACAGCTTCTACCCTGAGGCTGTTAGACTCATGAATCTCTAACTAGAATAATCACTGTGAAAAACCATATCATGTTGCTGCTGATCTGTTTCATGTTGCTGCTGATCTGTTTCAATGTTGATGTGTTAATGCGTGCACATCCGCTCACACAGACTCATGTTCATGTTTGTGCTGATGTTCAATGTTTTATGTTATGAGTGCTTAGTGTATATTTAGTTGATGTTTTTCTTAGTTCATATCTTAGATGTTATTACTGTTTTTCTTTTACATTTTATTGTTGGATGTAACTGGGACCCTGTGTACATAATTTCGCTCCACCACATGTACCACATGAGGTGCGAATGACAATAAAGAAACTCTGACTCTGACTCTGACTCTAATTGATGGATGTCCAGCCCCTGAGCTGCTGGCTTTCAGTAACTGTGGCCCCCTGAGCAGTTTAGTTGCATATCCCCGCCCTGGTCTAAATATTGTTTAGAAGCACGTTCAAGATAATTTACTTTGGTTTAATTACTTTTGTGATAATTGAATAATTGCCGCAAAGCAGTTTTACAATACTTTTATGCTCTAAATAAATACGACATGTTAACAATTAAAAGACACACGACAAATAAATAAATCCATCAAACAAAAAATATTATTCAGTTGTTTTATTTATTTTAGTGTCTCAATATAAATTATGAGCTACTGAAATAACGAAACACGATTTAGCGTTCCTACTGATCATAGATCCCTTTAAACATAGAAATATTACTGTTTTCATCTGCAAACAGATAAAGTGTTGTTTGAGTAGAATAAGAAGAACATTTCAGAGTTTTCACTGAAGCTTGAACCCCATTCACCCATGACAAAGTCCAGTTAGCTAAGCACTGGGTTATAGACACCACTGACACTTTTTGCACCCTTTCAAACCTCAGGTGTACCCACCTCTTGTCAGGGATCAATGAACCAAACTATTGTTTTCTCATGACTTATTGGGGCCGAGGCTTCACTTCTTTTCTGCTCTCTCTCCACCTGTTCAGAGAAACTGCTTTATAACTGACACTGACCTTGTGGAAATAGGGTTGAGGAGCCTTAATTATATTTAAATTTCTGAATAAATCTCAGATATGTGAGGACTCACGAAACGCATTATAATTAGTTGTCTAGAAGCCGTTCATACAGAGCAAACCCTTTCTGATAGTTGTGCTTAATTCACGGCGTTCACCTCACTGAAGCCTTCGTGACTTCAAAGCTTGCGCCTCTCATTAGCTCTGAGAGCCGGTGTCCCCGGAGGAAACATATGAATAATGTACATATTTTGTTCCTTCATTGTTGATGTTTTAATTGTTGCAGTGTATAAATTATGCTGGAGAGTCAATAATGGACAACTTGCCTTGTAAGTAAAAATCCATCAGTGGTTGAGTTTAGTATAAATAGTCAGAAACAGGAGCTGGCCAGATGTCTGCTGGCCTCTTTGTCAATAACACAGAAGTTAATATGAAATCAGTGTTTTTATAAGGACTAATGTGGTTATGTCCCTGTTTATCTAGTTTTTTTCATTACATTTTTTAATAGAGGGTGTATTTTAGTTCCTTAGTCAGTTTGACACTGTGAATGGACAGCCAAAGTCCACCCACCTTAAGGCTTTGAAGTCCCAGAGCTGTAGGATCAAAAAGGACGATGGGAGAAGATGAATGGGTTTGCAGGGTCGTCCTGTCAGGTGGTGTCAGGTCAAGATGTCAGCTTTCACATTGAG